CTTCGGCTCAGGTCATGATCCCGGAGTCCCGGGATCGAGTCCCACATCGGGCTCCCTGCTCGGCGGGGAGTCTGCTTCTCCCTCTGACCCTCCCCTCTCTCATGTGCTCTCTGTCTCTCTCATTCTCTCTGTCTCAAATAAATAAAATCTTTAAAAAAAAAAAAGAATGGACTATATACGCATATATACACAAATGTACACCCACTGTATATATAACACATGTATAACATACATAAGAGCTATTCATTTACCATATATATGTATATGTGTCCATATAGAAATGCTCTGAAGCAATGACTCTAAAATCTACCTAAAAGTAATTACAAATGCATGGGATATCATAGGCATTCAATGAAATGTATAGAATAAATAAATATGTGTGATCAGATTGAAGGACTGATTGGATTGATTGTTGGGTGGAAGGGAAGATGGTTAGAGACTAGGCAGGCTCCCTTCTAAAGTGCTGGTAACACACTTTAACTCCTTTACCCAAGATATTTGATATTTAAAAGCTTCCAAGTAGCACATTTCTTGCTATTTTTGCCAACATAACTGGTGGCTGACCATTGTTTATAATATCGGAAACTTTAACAGTAATTAATCACATAAGAGTTACATTAACACCATCAGCACAAGCCATCTGCCTAATTTCATTCATCTGCTGCTCTAGACTATGATGGAGCCAGAATATCTACATATGTATGTAAATACCCGTACTTACACCTACCCCTGTACCTACACTTACACCTCTACCTATGTATATACATATACACATATGTATATATTTGGTATTTGGGTTCAGATCCAGGGGTTTTATTTTGAAAGGCATATGACATCTTTCCAAGATATGAGTTAGAGATCTTATGCTATTTCAATTTATGAGTTACAGATCTTATGCTATTTCAATTTAAATATGTTTTATTGATATATTATTTTATTCTAAATCTTTTTTTAAATTATCATTTTAGGGATTATATCCAGAATCCCATGGCATCATTGACAATAATATGTATGATGTAAACCTCAACAAGAATTTTTCACTTTCATCAAAGGAGAAAAATAATCCCGCTTGGTGGCAAGGACAACCAGTATGTAACATTCTGCATGTGACACCAAAATTATCTCCATTTTCCAGTGTGACAGTGGATCACTCTTCTCTCTCTCCTTTTCCATTATCTTTCTAATGTCTCAGGGTGGAGGGTGGTGAGATGGTGTTTCACCACTTATAATTTAACTCTTCTAAGTATTTATGATTGCTCACCTAACTTGCCTTCTGTTAAAACTAGGATGTAGTATTCTAAACATATCAATGTAGAAACTTCTCAGAAGGATTTTCTGTTCATTTTTTCCCCTCATTCTGTTTCATGATTCTTTAACAGGGAAAGATTTTACCAATTTTACCAATTTGAAAAAAAAATGGTCTTTCCTACTACCTTACTATGTTTTTGATTTTCGAGGTAGATCCCTGGGTAATTAAATTTTGCAACTGTTAATATTGTTAACTGTTGATATTGTTTAGTTTCTAAAAAATGGCACCATTCCTACCAGTTCTACCCAAACTAATTATTCTCTTGACTTCCACTTATCTTAAATTTTCTCTTCTTACAGATCTGGCTGACAGCAATGTATCAAGGTTTAAAAGCTGGTAGCTTCTTTTGGCCTGGATCAGATGTGGCTATCAGTGGCTCCTATCCTTCCAAATATATGAACTACAACAGGTAGTGAAGCGCTTGTAGAGATGAACCCCCCTACGCAGGCATGATTGGGATGTTTTTGGTCTTAATCTTGATAGTAATTCTATTTTTCCAGTTGTTTGGGTCAAAAATCTTGAAGTCATCATGGATTCCTCTCTCTTACAACCCTCATCTGGTCAGTCGGTAAATGCTTTTGGCTCTAATTCAAAATATATGCAGTCTGAGAACTTTTTGTTATTTCCAGCATTACTCCTGCGGTTGGAGCTACCATCATCTTTTGCCTATATTACTGCACTTGCCTCTTTACACATCTCCCCGCTTCTATTCTTGTCTCCTATCATCTATTCTTAATCTACCAACCAGAATGATAACTTAAAAAAACAAGTCCACTTATGATACTTCTTTGCACCAAAAACTTCTGTGGCTCCCTGTCCCATTCACAGTAGGGCCGTATTGGTATGACCCTAATCACCCCACTGTGTCTCAGACATCCTCTCCCACTACACCACCAGGTTCTGACCTCCTGGGTGTGCCTTAACGCACCTGGCTTGCTCTACTTAGGGCCTTTGTGTGGGTTGTTCCCTCTACCTGAGATTACTCACCCCATGTATCTGCACAGCCCGCTCCCTAACCCCCTTCAGGTTGTTGCTCAAAAATTACTTTCCCGATACCGTCGCAGCCTGATCAAACTGAGATTTCAAATTCCAAACCATCCCCACCCTAGTTTTGCAGTGCCCTTATTGTGCTCTTCTTTTCTCCATGGGATTTGTCACCTTGTGATACACTATGTGATTTATTTATGTATCAGATCTATTGTTTATTATTTGTCTTCATGGAATATCATCTCTAGAAAGGAAAGCATCTTTGGTTTGCCCACTGATAAATTTTGTTTAAAATGAACTAATAGTGTGTGGCAATAGATGCTCAATATAACATAAATGTATGAATGAATGAAGTAAATAAAAATAAGTCAAATGAATGGATAATAATTAATGATCTTTTACTTCAGTTGGGGGAAAAATTGAAGGAGGGAATGATAAGAAGGAAAGAAAAAATATATATTTAATTTATATTGAGACAAATGTATCTGTATATAAGTATTGAAAACAGGAATCCCTTTGAGTAGTATTGAATCCCCTTCAGTATTCTGATCACATATGAACACAAAATGGAGATCTAAAAATATCAACCTGTCTTCCTGAGTAGGAATATAATGGAATTATTTTTGATTTGATTAATTTTGGAAAATTATTTTTTCTCTTCTTTTCAGAAGTATCCCATATGAAGAAAGGATCTCTACATTGTTAAAATGGCTGGACCTGCCCAAAGTTGACAGGTATTATCTAGTATCAGAAAATTGCTGGCACCCTGGGATATTTGTGGGTATAAAATGAAATATTTCTTTACTGTAACTGACCATTTCTGAAAGAAACCTGGCTTTTTTTTTTTTTTTAAGAAATTTTCAATAATTATTTTCTCTTGAGAATGTGATGGACACTATGGGGCAATAAAGATAGAGCCAGTACCAGAGAGTAGAGGCAAGTATCACAGAACCAGGGACAGACTGGAGGCAGAACGGAGAGCGGATCTGAAACTTTGTTATGAGGACGGACTCATGGAACCTGAGGTGCCGGAGCAAGGCCCTGGCAACCACGTGGAGTCAGAGGATCCCAAGAGAGCAACAGGTCAACAGAAACCAGACATTTAAAGAAAGAACGGGGATGGCAGAGCAAAGAGTGGGCCCAAAGTCAGAGACTGGGAGGTATAAAGGACTGCGCACAGCAAGAGAGAACTCAGCAGCGAGAGCAAGGCAGATTTTCCTAAGTGAGTCAGAGCCACGCTCACACCCAGGAAGGTCTCACTTACTTCCTGTTAGGAGAACCTCCGCGCTAGGGCCAAGAGGAACCACTGGGCCTGGATGAAGAGGAGCAGGCCAGAGAAAAAGAAGGAAATTGCCACCAAGTTCTAAACCAATACGTTTCCCAAATCTAACCTGCAGGTTTATTCCAAGTTGATAATGTCTTTCTCTGTTTCCGTTTTACTCCTAGACCTGATTTTTACACCATCTATGTGGAAGAGCCTGATTCTGCCGGACATAAGAGCGGGCCGGTCAGTGCTCAAGTAAGTTTGTTTGATTGAACAAAATGTAAAATGATCTAGCCCTAACCCACAACATAAAATATTCTTGAGTTCCCACTAAATAAAATGCATTTGATATAAACATTAAGACATTAAAATAGTGAACAGTCTAAAAGAATAGCTACCTTATTAAACCACAAAAAAATTAAAAGTCTAAAAAAAGATACCTGCTTTATTAACTACATCTTGATTCGTTTGATAGACATTTGCTGAGGACTTAGATGCAGCACTGTGATTTCATACAGAGGAAGCAGCAAGGCTAGATACTCCATGCCAGTTCAACACGTTAATGTAGCTCATTCCAAGCTAAGTCTCCTGCAAGTCGGTGGTGGACTACCCAGCTTCTGTTCATGCCCTGGGTTCCATTCATAAGATCCTTATAATTGGACTTAATATGCTAGTGCCTCAGGCAGAGTTCTTCCTCTCCTCCTGGGCCTCTATTATCACTGAAGTCGACTTTTAAATATTAGTTTTGTCATTATCTAAACCATTATGTTATATTTTACTACAGAAATATAGAACTTAAATATTACTTAAAAAAAGAATAAAGTCATCTGTCTTCTGAAGTCCACAGAAACCTCTATTGTCCTGGACATAATGTAAAGCTGTGAAGGCCTCCATGAGTATGGCATTTTCCTGCCTCATGGAAACTTATTTAACAGTTGTCCTCTGTTGGAATACAAGTATATTTATTCTAGCGCCCTGACTTGTGGTTTATCAGCATCCTTCTTACTTTTTTCCCATTAAACCAAAATGATTCCTTATACAAGGCCCTGCTCAAGTCCTACCACTTTTAACCCTTTTGTCCTTCACATTCCAACACCGCTTTTGACTATATCCCAGAATTTAACATCTAATCAGGCTATTTTAAGGATGAATGGCATAGTAACTATCTGAAGTATATTCAACACTTCTTTTCTATTTTAATTTTTTTTTTTTTGAGAGAGAGAGAGAGAGCCGGGGGGTAAGCAGAGGGAGAGGGACAGAGAGAATCTCAAGCAGACTCCCAGCTGAGCGCAGAGCCTGACACAGGGCTCGATTTCATGACCCTGAGATCATGACCTGACCCACAATCAAGAGTTGAATGCTCAAACAACTGAACCACCCGGGAACCCCTCTATTTTTAAATTCTTATCCATACTTGATATAATTAATTGTTTGAGAGGGGACACTATAATCTGCATTTGCCTGACCCCTACTGCCGACTTAATATTAGGCACCATATCTTTTTCTTCTATTCAATGCTCTAGTTTGGCCCCCAGATAAATTTTAAGTATAATTTGAAAGGTGCTGCAAAGGAAAAGATCAAGGTGCCCTGAGAGGTGATGGAGGAAGTCCTAACCTAGTCTATGGTGGAACGGGGACTGGGGCTGGTTAGAAAGTTCTCTGAATAATAAAAAACAAAAAAAATTCACAAATGACCTGGTTGAGAGAGGAGCTGAGCACATAGAGGAATGCACAGAATGGACAAATGAGCAGACAGGCAAATGGACCGATGGTTAGACGAATGGACCGCATGATAATAGTTAAGAATTACAACAGCATTTAACTCTTCTTGTGTGCTCCTCTATGCCAGGCACTGTTGGAATCACTGTGTAGGGACTATCTCCCACCCATGTCTGGAGCACCGTGGCCCAGAGGTGAGGGCTAAGAGGAAGCCTAGAGACGGAGGCAGGCACCAAATCATGCAGGTTTTTGTTGGTCATGTAATGTGTAATGGAAGCACTGAGGCACTTTAATCGGGGAAGTGACATGATCAGATGTGCGTGTATTTAAGGATCAGTTTTACTGTGTGAGAAGAATGGATTAGAGGGAACGGGGGAAGGAGAGGGGAAATGAGTTAGTTTTTACAATATTCCCGAAAAGAGATAATTGTGTCTTGGATTAGGGTAGTGGCAACCATCATGGAAGGAAAGAGATGCATTTGAGATTGATTTGGGAGATAGACTTGGCATGGCTTGGTAGCAGTTGGGTGATGGGGTAGGGGATCAAGGACAATTGTCAGGTTTCTATCATGAGCTGCTACAGGTGTTTCCATTTACATCAGTGAGGTGACTGAAGGGGGTTAATTTTGGAGGAGAAGATCATGGTGTGCTTAAGGTGCTTGTGATGTCCAAGTAAAGATGCCCAGAAGGCAATTGAACACGGATTTAAAGCTCAGGAGATGAAGACTGGGCAGCTTGGCAGCATGTAGATGGTGCATGGAAGTGAAGAGGTCCTAGGGAGAGAGGGAAGAGTGAAAATAGAAGGATGAAGACCACACCCCATTTAAAACTTTAGGAGGCAAAACAGATGGAGAAACTGGATGCCTTTATGGCTTTATTACTGTTATTGGTATTTTTAATCACATACTTTAATTCAGAGTTAATATGATGTAATTTGAAAGCAAAAAGTCTATTTTAATTTGTTTGCTCACTCACGCTGTTGAAAGCTTAGTAACCTCTAGATGTTTCAGTCATCAATACCCTCTTGCTTTTGCTCTGCTATCCCTTTAAAGTCTACTTTGAACAGTTTCTGGTGGACCTAAAGTTCTGCTAGGCATTCTTGGGGGTGAAGAAAATGAGGCCATTACCCCGAAACCATGTGGAAGGGGCAAATAAAAGGAATAATGAGTTAATGTATAATGAGTTTTTATTTTAAGAAACCTTAAAAATGTGATAGCCTAAGCAATGTTTAAATGGAAAGCAGATTGTGGCCTGGTAGAGCTGGAGAGGGCTTTATGAAATGGGGATGTAGAAGGTGGTAGGAGAGAGATTTAAAGTCTGGTGAGACCAGCAACATCTTGATACCAAATTTGTTCCAATAATTCTCTAATATTGAAGTTGAATTAGGCACAGAATGTCCTGACTGGTCCTGGGTAACTTTAAATAATGGCCTAATACTTGAACAAGATTCACCTGTTAATTCATTATTGAAAAACAAATTATTACATCTTAGATGGAATGAAAAGTTGAAAAAAAAATTCAGTTTGGAAAACAAACCTGAAATTAAGTAAAGAGCAACTTAAGTTGTTGATAATGCTCATGTACATGATGTAATGATTCTAGAGCGCTGAGGGCCTCCACTTTGGGGGAAGCATGTGGAGGCAGAATACACGGGAAGGATGTTGTATCTATTGAAAACCAATTATGTTAATGCTGCATAGAGTTTCCTACTAGCATCATCCTCTGCAACCTTGAATTTCGTTTTACAAAAAGGAACTTCTGGATCCAAAAAACAGTTGTTTATTGAGGGTCTAGCCATTTAACGCATTGTGTCGGAATTGATTTTGCTGTTTCCACAATATCCACTCTGAAAGTGATTGATCACGATTCCATGTGAAAAAAGCAAGGCTTTCTACCCAAATTTGGTTTGCCCCACAGCTGCAAACATTTCCATTCCTATTTATTATCTTACCATCCAAAAAACTGTTCACTTGCTGCCTGTCACAGGGATTTCTTGTTTCTTTCCTTTGTCTGGGCTAGAATAGGGGGTTAGCATCTAGTCACTTTACATTCAGTAAAATGTGCCATCCATTGAGTGGATACTTTGTGAAAGACTCTATGCTTAGGAAGCATGTGATGAGTTAGGTCGCAGGGTCCCTTCCCTGCAGGAGTTCATGCTTCCTGACGAGGCAGACACATGCACAGATGATTTCAAATCTGTGGAAAGGCCAATGGTAGCAGATGCCAAGGGGCTGTGAGAGGACAGAGGACAGGGTGCTCTTGGTACAGTTGGGAGGAGTGAGTAGAATGACCATGAAAGGGGACATAATTACGCCATAACAGGTGGGAACTGTGACTCACACTCATAAACCAGAGTGCATGGTCACCTTAAGAATAGGAGTCAGACTGGGTATTTACCCCAAAGATACAAATGTAGTGATTCGAAGGGGCACCTGCACCCCAATGTTTATGGTAGCAATATCTACAATAGACAAACTATGGAAAGAGCCTAGATGTCCATCAACAGATGAATGGAAAAAGAAGATGTGGTATATATCTACAATGGAATCTATGCAGCCATCAAAAAATGAAATCTTGCCATTTGCGACGACGTGGATGGAACTAGAGGGTATTATGCTAAACGAAATAAGTCAATCAGAGAAAGACAATTATCATATGATCTCACTGATATGAGGAATTTGAGAAATAAGACAGAGGATCATAGGGGAAGGGAGGGAAAAATGAACAAAGACAAGCCAGAGAGGAAGACAAACAATAAGAGAGTCTTAACTCAGGAAACAAACTGAGGGTTGCTGGAGTGGAAGGGGGTGGGAGAGATAGGGTAGCTGGGTGATGGACATTGGGGAGGGTGTGTTCTATGGTGAGCACTGTGAATTGTGTAAGACTGATGAATCACAGACCGGTACCCCTGAAACAAATAATACATTATATGTTAATAATTAAAAAAAAAAAAAAGAATAGGAGTCAGGAGGGACACCTGGGTGGCTCTGTGGGTTAGGCATCTGCCTTTGGCTCAGGTCATGATCCTGGGGTCCTGGAATCGAGCCTCGTATGGAGCTCCCTGCTCAGCGGGGAGTCTGCTTGTCCCTCTCCCTCTGCCCCTTCCCCCTGGTCACTCTCTCTCAAGTAAATAAATAAAATCTTAAAAAAAAAAAAAAAAGAAAGAAAGAAAGAAAAGAATGGGAATCAGGAAAGCAACTCAAGAGTTGCTGGATTTAATAGTAGATTGAGCCAGTTTGAATTCAAGTCCTACTCTGTCCCTTATTAACTGTGGGACCATGAACATGTTACTTAACTTCTTTAAACCTCAAGTTTCCGGGTCTTCCCACCTGGAAAATTCCAGATGGTGGAAATAGCACCATCCATGCATGTTACCATGACAATTTTATGAGGTAATGTACTAAAGCTCTTGACAGTAATTGGCTTGTAAAAGTCTTTCTCAAAAAAGAAAAAAAGCTATCATTTTATGATAGTACTATAAGAGATTTACACGTTTTTCCCAATCCATTGTTATTATATTTTCCTATTCACTGAAAAAAATAATGACCAGTTATGTCAGTTAAAATTTATTCACTTAAACCTTGTCAGTTCAATGCACTATGGTGATGAAGTGTAGAAAAATTTTAAAACACAAAAGAATGTAAACAATAAAATAGAAATGAACTCCAATTCACTATTCAGAGATAACCACTATTTATACTACCTTGATATATTTCCTTTTCATTTTCTGTGCGTGTATGTTTACTAAGAAATACTAAATATATTTAAAAATGAGGGGTGCCTGGGTGGCTCAGTCAGTTAAGTGTCTGCCTTAGGCTCAGGTCATGGTCTCAGGGTTCTGGGATGGAGCTCCACAACGGGCTCCCTGCTTAGGTATAAATCTCCATTTGTACTCTAAGTATTTATGAGGACAAATGCCCAGAAGTTAGCTGTTAGATTACAGGGTATGCGTCTTTTTAACTCGCTGGTTAGGCATTGTCACGTGATCTCCGGCCCGCATGTAACCATGCAGACTTCTATGGAGGTGTCCGTGGACTCCCCTCCCCAACACTGGGCATTATCATGAATGCCTTTGCAGCTGAATACCACTGTGGAGGTTGAACATTTTTCTCAGATATTTATTGGCCAGCAGTTTATCTTCCTTTGTTGAAAACATGGTTTAATTTTTTTAATTTGTTTATAGAAATTTAGGGAATTGGTATTTGATACATGTGGTAGCGTGGATGCTGGGCTCTGATGTCCTACTTCAAAATCCGGAAGTTTCAGAGAAGGAAAAGTATTCAGTTTTTACTCCCTTAGATAGGGATTTCATTAATTAAAATTTAATTCATGAAGACAATCTTAACTCCAGTTTCTTTTTCCCCCTTAGGTAATTCAAGCCTTACAGTTGGTAGATAAGGCTTTTGGAATGTTGATGGAAGGCCTAAAACAGCGGAACTTACACAACTGTGTCAATATTATCCTTTTGGCAGACCATGGTATATTTTTCTTTTTAAATCATATTTTATCATTGATTATGTCTTATCACTTCAAGGAGCATGCAAAAATGATAAGTGATATTTTAAAATCTGTACTTCCAGACCTAGAAGCTCTTGAATGAGCAAGGAACAAGTTTTGTGGTAGGCTGTGATGAATAGAGGACTAAAACTAAAATTTCTAGTTTATTCTAACATTCATTCTGAAAAATCCATCCATATACTTACTTTTCTGTAAAAAGTAAGGGATATGGCTGGGTTGTTGTTCAATCAAATATTTTTTGAGTGCCTATTCAATGTCAAGTACTTTACCAGATGTGGTGTGTTTGGAGGTGCATAAAGCAGATATGGGCCTCTTCCAGATGGAGTGATCCTCTCTAGGTTAGTCAAGCTAAGCTCCAAAGGCTGTGAAGGAACCAGGCATGGAGGAGAGGAGGAAAAGGACTATGTCTACAGAACTTCTGTTCATATTTTAGGACATCAAGATAACGAGAAACAGAGAAACATTAAAAATTTCTAAAATGTTTTCTTAACACATTGTCCTATTGTTTGAAAATTAAAGGGAACCATTTTAATTGTGCATTTTGTTAGAAGAAATTATAAAACATAAAATAAGTGTATGAATAAATATGAAAATAAAAATTTAGGTGTAGTGGGAAGAATCTTTAAATAGTAAAGGTTTAACTACCGAATCTTTTTTTAAAGTGCATGCTGCTTAAATAAACTTAAATAATATACTTAAGATATAATTCGCTTTCTCCAGATGATTTTCTTCTTTGAAATTAGTTGATTTATGTTGAACAAATGATCTGTTTATAATTCTTGTTTATTCTTCTCTTATAAACATGACCCTTCTCCACTGTCAGGATTTTCAAGTTCTGCCATTTAGAGTGAAATCATAGGGTAAATTGTGTAACTGCTCAGTGAAACGTGGTTTGAGATATGTAACATAGAGTATCCCCGATTTGACATGATCAAAGACAACTGATTGTTACCAGCTATGTATATATTCAGTGGATTTTTTTTTAATTCAGGAATGGATCAGACTTACTGTGACAAGGTGGAATATATGACTAATTATTTTCCGCGAATAAACTTCTACATGTATGAAGGGCCTGCACCTCGTATCCGGGCTCGTAACATACCTCACGACTTTTATAGTTGTAAGTATGAAGATGCCCATGTGAAAAAAAAAAAAGGTAAAATCGAAAGTGAACAACCATACTTCCTGATTCTGGGGATGTAGAGATTGCCAAGCCCCCTCCTGTGACTTGGGAACACCACACAGAGCAAAGGAGAAATTCCCTTCCTTGTTTAAATATAGTCAGTCTATAAAGTCTATGGTAATATTTAATGTTGTTAAGTTAAAACATATTCTACTTAATCATATTAATATTAATAAAATATTAATTAAAACAAAAACATTAATATTAATAAAATATTAATATATTCTACTTATATCCATATAAGTAGATATATATAATA